TTGGTCCCCTGGTCCTGGTCCTCTGTTGGTTCAACCACCAAAAAAAAACACTACTCAGGTCAGATGTTGCGACTTTTATTCCTGGGACGTTCTTTATCGGGAAGGCTGGGTCCCGGCTTAGGGAAGTTTCAGGTGGGTAGCTTACCCCATATGAGCTGTAGTCTAGACTCCTTAAAGGGGGATATATTGGGGATGATATAGGGGACTACTATAGGGGATATTGAGGGGGATACTAGGAGCTTAGACTATAGCTCACATAAGCCCTGCATAGCCCTTGTATAGTCCTAGTGTCCCCATATAAGCCTTACATAAGCCGAAGATGAGAGTACCCACCTGGTACTTACCCACCTGAAAACTCCTAATCTATTCCAAAACTCAGGGGTCCATTTTGGGACAAATATGGCTGGGTGGCTGTTAAGCAATTTAGATTACATCACCAGAACACGGATACATAAACAATAGAGTTTCCTTATTATGGTAACTTGACTTTAAGTTCCTGAACAGCAGCGACCCAGATTGGGGTCTACATTGGGGGCCCATCTGTAGCAGGTCCGTTGTAGCTCAGCTCTGTTTGTCGCGGGGAGGTCCTGGCCTATGGCGGCTTAGTTCAAGGTGTTCGCGTCGGCGAGTTCGTGCTCGGGATTGCAGATCCCTCCCCTCAGGCCAACGCGGTTTAGGGATTTCAGGGGGCCTCTTGCAAAAAAATCTCCTCAGGCCATCCGGTTTAGGGTTTAGGGCTTTATCGGAGAACTCAGAAAGCCTGTTGGAAAAAGGCTTTCAGGGAGCCTCTTGCAAAAAGTCCCCTCAGGCCAACGCGCTTTAGGGTTTAGGGCTCCTCTTGCAAAAAATCTCCTAGGCCAATGCGGCTTAGGGTTTAGGGCTTTAAGGGAGCCTGTTGAAAAATTCCGCTTAGGCCAATGCGGTTTAGGGTTTAGGGCTTTAAGGGAGCCTGTTGCAAAAAAAATCCCCTGAGGCCAACGCGGTTTAGGTTTCAAGGCCTTAAGAGAGCATGTTGCAAAAGAATCCCCTCAGGCCAATGCGGTTTAGGTTTCAGGGCTTTAAGGGAGCCTCTTGCAAAGAAGAGCTCTAAGGGACAGAAGGAGATCTGGTAGGAAAACACTGAAGTCAAAACCAGGTTGAAACCTATACACCCTGCCTAGGTGCATGGCGACCTAACCCCAAACCCTATAGTCCACCTTAAGTAGATAGGATGTAGGGTATCTGGGGATCTCATTATAATATGGGTCAACTCCATATTCTATCTACTAAAGGGGGACTATAAGCCCTTAAGACGCGCAGAGCTGCATTGCGGGCAAGCCTGTTGCTGTTGCAGGCACTTCACGGCGCCCCCCAAGATGCCCGGAGCTGATGATACTCAGGTAAAAAGGTGTAGGGTTTAGGGGAGTCATATAGCGGATATGTACGGGTTATACAGGGATTATAGTAGGGGAATGGAATAGAAAATGGAAACTACTTTTTCGGGTTTAGGATCTAGCGATGTACCCCAAAAATGGAGAATCCATGGAAGGAAAATCGAGACTGCCATGGAAACTCGGATTTTTGGTTGGGTTTGTATAGGGCTTTTATGGTAGTTGATGAGGCTTCAACACGCGGATTCTGATGACCCCAGCCCCCGAAATTGGCCTCAGAACTATCATATGACTATGCTAGCCTCTTAATCCCCCAAAATGCAACCCTAGAAATTGGTTTAGGGTTTAGGGTTTAGGGTATCATATGATTGCAGTGGTATCCTGTTTTTTGAGGGTTGGGGCTACTCAAAACCTACCATCAGAATCCTTAGAAGCCCCCTACATGATCCCAGTTTCCATTTCCTTTTGCAGTTTTCCATTGGATTCTCGATTCTAGGGCATAATACCCCTAAAACGTAACCCGCAACTATGTTATATTGTAGTTTCTTTTTTTGCCTTTCCCTATATGTGCTATATGTTTATATGTATATATATATATATACACATATCCCCGCTTTCCCACCTAAACCTTAAACCCTAACAGAGAGTCTCAAACCTATCTCTCCGAGTTGAGTACCCTGGGGCTCCATGTCTATAAATAATACCTACATTGGGCCCCAATGTCTATAAATAGTACCTACATTGGGACTTTTTGAGCTGTAGGGGTAAGTACTAAGGCCAATCGTGAGCTTGGCTCTGAGCTTTCCGTTGCGGATGGTTTCGTTTATTGGGTTGCTGTTAAGGAACTTGAACTAAGTTACCATATAATGAGTATGTATACATATATATATATGTACGAGGGACCTCTATGTATTATGTGACCCAAGTGTTTTCGGTAAGGAATCTTTTGTTGGGAGACCCGGACTTTTGCAAATTCTGAAATTCTAGGATTTGGGAGGCCCAGAATTTCTAAAATTTCTACAATTCCTCAAATTTCTAAAATTTCCAAAAAAAAATAGGATTTTAGGAATTTTAGAAATTCCGCTATTAGAAAAATTTCAAAAAAATCCAATTTTAGAATTTTAGGAATTTTAGAAATTTCGCTATTAGGAAAATTTCTAAAATCCTAAAATTTTAGAGTTTTGGGATTTTTTTGACGTTTCGCTGTTAAGAAAATTCCTAAAATTCTAAAATTCTAGGATTTGGGAGGCCCAGAATTTTTAGAATTTCTAAAAATTCTAAAATTCCTAAAATTTCTAAAATCCTAATTTTTGAATTTTAGGAATTTTAGAAATTCCGCTATCAGAAAAATTTCTAAAATCCTGAAATTTTAGAATTGTAGGATTTTTAGAAATTTCGCTATTAGGAAAATTTCTAAAATCCTACAATTCTAAAATTTTAGGATTTTAGAATTTTTCTAATAGCGGAATTTCTAAAAACTCCTAAAATCCTAAAATTTTAGGATTTTAGAAATTTTAGGAATTGTCGACTTTCTAAAATTTCTAAAATTCTAAAAAGTTTTTGGAAATTCCAGAAATTTTCGAAATTTTTGGAATTTTAGAAACTTTAGAAATTTTAGAAATTCTAGAAATTCTGGGCCTCTCAAATCCTAGAATTTCGAAAATTTTGCATTTTTTTTGATAAGGGAATTTCTAAAAAATAATAATCGAAAATTGGGAGAGCTCCCTTATTCTTTATCAAGAATTGAGAAGCTCCCTTATTCTGTAAGATAAAGGGGCTATCTTATTCTTTATTCATAGACAGAGGAGCTCTCTTTTTCCGTTGTTAACAAATAGAGGAGCTCTCTTGTTTTCACTAAGGGACAGAAGAAATTTCCTATTCCTTATTCACAAATTGGAACGGTCTTGTATTCTTTACTAGAAAATGGAGGAGCTCTCCTATTTATTAAAACA